TATAAACTGATTATCTACTTGTGCTGCTTCTTTCTTTCACACTCCAGCTCTGCTATAGAACTGCAAAAGGCTGATTATAGGTCAAATTCGGGTACTTATTGTGCTTGCATTTTAAAAATAAATTAAACGATGAGCTAATAATAACAGAGCTGCATTAATTGTGTCTTTTATGTCAGCCTAGAGATTGTTTTTCATTTTTTAAAAAGTCAGGAGCACAAGAGACTTGTACTGTCACTAGATCAGGGACCAGCTAATAAATATTGTCTGTACAGGTTATATGATTCATATGCAGGTTGATTATTAATTACATATATTAGGAATTTGGATTCTAGGAAAACAATCATAGCACATTAAGATGAGGGTGGTACCAACATCCCAAATAGTATATATAGATCCAAAATGAAAGAACATAGGACTTTTAGGGCTCTTTCACACAGGTGGCTGGGGGCAGTAAAAACAGACAGCTGAGCCGTAGTTTTATTACCCCCGGCCGCCCACCAAAATGCTTGACAGGGCTGCACACATGTTGCGGCTGCAATGCTTTACTTAGCTCTGCTTGCAGTTGCAGTGTAATTTCTTACTATAAAATCGCCCTTGAGATTGGGAAAATATAAATAAAAAAGCAGATGTTTATCAGGCGACAGGGTCACCTCCTGGACACCTTCTATACTGCCCTCTGAAAAGCAATCCACTGTGGATAGCGTTTCAGAGGGTGGTAAGCATTGGCATCTGTCTGAAAGAAGCCTTATTGATACCAAAGTAGACAACATATGCAAGAAAAACTAGGGTTGCACCTATACTGATACCGGTATCAGTACCGATAGAAAGCATTTGGTGCAAATACTCCGATACCTAAAACTGATACCTTTGTGGTGCGATTTGAGACCATACAACATGAATGGGCAAAAATCGCACTGCAAAGAATAGCATGTGATTTCAATACGACTGAGATGTGATTCCTGTCCGAATCGCATGCAGTTTCCTGCACCACTCCTGTGTGAACCCAAGCTTGTCATAGTGACTTCAGCCTGGATTCACACAGGAGCGGTGAGGAAAACCGCATGTAATTTGGACAGGAGTCGCACTTCATTCCTGTTCAAATTTTATTGCAATGAAAACTAATATAAAAGGAGACGCGTACCTACAGTCCTGGATAAGAGGGGCAGCAGCATATAGAGGATCTGATGCCTTCTATTCTCCTCCTGCAGTCTCTGAAAGCCCACCCAGGTGCAGGTTGAAAATGGAGGGGATCAGTTCCTCTATATGCCACTCCTGCCAACCCTCCTATCCAGGTTCTGCAGCCCCTGGGTCCCACTGTGTGCTCTTCTGCCCCCCCCCCCCCCCCACTTTTCCCGCCAGCTGCTGTTGGGGAAGTGTCAGGATGGAGAGTGAGAAAGGAAACAGTAAATAATGTATGTCATTTACATTTTCTGAATGGACAGAGTCAGTGATCAGTACTGATCACAGACTCTGTCCATTCATTAATGAACCATAGTAAAGTATGTTATTTTGCTTCAGTTTGTGAATGAATGGGAAGCTGTGTACAGAGCTATCCCCGTCCATCCTTTCTTTGCTGTTGAGGTTGCGAAGATGGAGATTGAAGGCTGTGTCCTCAATCTCATTTCTCTGTCTCAAAAGTGGACCATCAGGGGGCTGTATAGTCTCTTAATATTTCACCAAAGCCCCCTCTGCCCCAACAGGGCTTCTAAAAAATTGTAAAAAGTAAATAATAAAAATGTAAAAATAAATTAATAAATAAAATGGTAAAAAATAATAAAAAATGAAAAAACTACTGACACCAGTAACAGAACTACCAGGGTTGCAAGGGTCGCACTTGCTGGCCCTGGCGTTCCACCACCGGACTTGGAGGAAATGGTTTCTTGCACTGGGGCCCTGAAGGTTCTAGTTACTCCTGTATATAAAAGTAACAATATGCATTGTGTGCTTATTTCTATGGGAATTGTATCTCCAACTCAATAGATTCACCAATTTAAATACCATGAACTATTAGATTGTAAGCTCTCATGAGCAGGGCCCTCCTAATCCTCTTGTGTTGTATTGTGACTGTCTCCATTTGTATTGTAAAGTGCCACGCAAACTGTTGGTGCTAATTAAAAATCCCCGATAATAATAATAATGATGAACATAGCATGGCATGATATGTGACCCATTAACATTTGGGTATCTAAGAGATATTTTAGTCCATTTATGCAGCTTTACAGATAGATCGATAGATAGATACAGTTGTGCTCAAAAGTTTGCATACCCTAGCAGAAATTGTGAAATTGTGGCATTGATATTGAAAATATGACTGATCATGCCACAAAATGCTCTTTTATTGAAGAATGATGATCATATGAAGCCAGTTATTATCAAATAGTTGTTTGGCTCCTTTTTTAAATCATAATGATAAACAGAAATCACCCAAGTGGCCATGATCAAAAGTTTCCCTCCCCTGGAATGTTTGGCTTTGGTACAGACACACAAGGTGACACACACAAGTTAAAATGCCAATTAGAGGTTAATGTCCCACATCTGAGGCTTTTTAAATTGCAATTAGTGTCAGTGTATAAATGGTCAATGAGTTTGTTAGCTCTTACATGGAAGCACTGACTAGGCTAGATACTGAGCCATGGGGATCAGAAAAGAACTGTCAAATGTCCAACATAACAAGGTAATGGAACTTTATAAAGATGGAAAAGGACATAAAAAGATGTCCAAAGCCTTGAATATGCCAATCAGTACTGTTAAATGATCTATTAAGAAGTGGAAAGTTCGGGGATCTCGTGATACAAAGCCAAGGTCAGGTAGACCAAGAAAGATTGCAGCCATAACTGATAGAAGAATTGTTCGGGATTCAAAGAAAAACCCAGACAACCACAGAAGAAATACAGGCTGCTCTGGAAAAAGATGGTGTGGTTGTTTTTAAGGAGTACAATACGCTGATACCTGAATAAAAATGAGCTGTTTGGTCGAGGTGCCAGAAAGAAGCTTTTACTGCACCAAGGCCACAAAAAAGCCCGGTTACAATATGCCTGACAACACCTTGACATGCCTAACCAGGCCTTCTTGTGTCATTGATGCAGTAAATGCTTTTTTCTGGCACCTCGACCATGCAGCTCATTTTTGTTCAAGTGTCATCATATTGTGCTCCTTCAAAACAACCACACTGTCTTTTTCCAGAGCAGACTGTATTTTTCTTGTGGTTACCTATGGGTTTCCCTTTGTATCCCGAACAATTCTTCTGGCAGTTGTAGCTGCAATCTTTCTTGGTCTACCTGACCTTGGCTTGGTATCAAGAGATCCCGAACTTTCCTCTTCTTAATAGGTTAATTAACAGTACTGATTGGCATATTCAAGGCTTTGGACATCTTTTTATGTCCTTTTCCATCTTTACAAAGTTCCATTACCTTGTTATGCAGGACATTTGACAGTTCTTTTCTGATCCCCATTGCACAGTATCTAGTCTAGTCAGTGCTTCCACGTAAGAGCTAAGAAACTCATTGACTATTTATACACTGACACTAATAGCAATTTAAAAAGCCACAGATGTGGGACATTAACCTCTAATTGGCATTATAACCCGTGTGTGTCACCTTGTGTGTCTGTACCAAAGCCAAACACTCCAGGGGAGGGAAACTTTTGATCATGGCCATTTGGGTGATTTCTGTTATCATTATGATTTAAAAAGGAGTCAAACAACTATTTGATAATAAATGGCTTCATATGATCATCATTCTTCGATAAAAGAGCATTTTTTGGCATGATCAGTCATATTTTCAATATCAATGCCAAAATTTCACAATTTCTGCCAGGGGATGCAAACTTTTGAGCACAACGATAGATAGATAGAGATAGATAGATAGATAGATAGATAGATAGATAGATAGATAGATAAATGCTGATCGTCTTGAAACACCCTTTAAATATTTGATTCTGAACAATTATGAAAATAAGGACATTAAGTTCTCTCAAACTTTCTTAAGCTACTTGTTCCAAGTCAATGACAGAGAGAAAGTAATGAAGCCAGAAAATGAGTGTAACGGCCAGGCAACCAGAATTTTCAGAAGGGAAAAGCAACGGCAACGTTCATGTTACTGCAATTCCAACCAGTTAAATTCTAAAAACTTCCTATAGATTGATGAGGTTTTAAGGATTAGGATATTTATATTCCCAAACATTTATACACAAGAGACAACATCCATTTGCATTAGCATTTGCTCTTTGCCATTGGTGTTTGCTTGTTAACCAAGCTAAAGGAAATAAAAAATAATGAAAATTGATCATAACTTGGGTTACGTAAGGCTGCAAAGGCATACTGAAGGGGTAGTGCAAGGATCTGTAATGTATGTAACATAAACTAATCCATAGCAGTCGGATTTCTATGCTACAGCCAAATAGTAAAATACGATTCCTCATTGGCTGCTGAAAGTTACTGAAATTTGTTTGCTCTTTGCCTTTATGAATATGTGACAAATGTAAAGATAGTTTATTTTATAAATTGCCTTTCCCCTAATATGCAAACAAATGAATTTGGATGATAAGGGTCAGATCTTGTTCCGGTATAATCCACATTGTACTAAGGAGAATGTGAAATTGAGCACACAGATTACAATTTAGTACGATTCCTTTAGATTTACCAACAACTATCCAGTAAAGTGAGCCTTTGATCTAAACCAGTTTTTCTTAACCTTCTCACCCTAGACCTAGAGGAACCTTGAAATATCTTTCAGGCCTCAGGGAACTCCTGCTAAAACCAACCCACTGGAATGGAAAAATGACTTGTCTGCCCAACGTCAGCTTATGCTGGGCTAATGCACCTCAACTGGAATCCATCTCTGGCTCGCTGTTGTGACATGGCCCCACTGACTTGAAGGGCTAAGGTTACCAGGCAGTGCCGCCTGTCAGCTCGGCATGTTCGTTAAATTTGCCACAGCATGTGAACAGAGACGTCCAGCTTTTGTTTAGCCTTTAGGTGGGCTGCAGGATTCGGTAAAGCTAGGTTCACATGTGTGCGGGTGGTGCCACTGCGGATCCACATGTACAGGGGCGGACTGACCATTTGGAAACTCGGTCAGTAGTGGACCCCATGAGATGCCCCTGGTACCTTTTTCATAGGCTTTTTTGAGTTTGGGCAAGGACACAGGGGCCCCATGATCCCCTATTGCCCGGGGGCCCCATGAGTTGTCAGTCCGCCCCTGCACACGTACATCCATGCACCACCCACACAGAGAAATGCGGACCTGCGGGCGGGTGCCTTTAGTTCTAATGGCATGCCGCCCGCACTGGAAAACGCAACCGTACTGGGAACCGAGGTTCCCGTGCGGGCTGCATTTTCGGAAGAATTGCCGGGATTTCTTCCCTGCGTGTCATGGGGCATGGGAGTCCATTCAAATGAATGAGCTCTCGTGCCCACGCAAAACGCGTCCCACATGGCCGCATATATGTGAACCAGGGGTGAAACCGTAGCTTCACTGCCTGTTTTTGGCCGCCCCTGTAATAGGTGCCAAAAGAATAAGTCTCCATACACACTAGCGTTTTTTAAGCTGCTAGAAGCTGGTAGCGTTTTTTTTCTGCTCCTAGAAGCTGAATAGTGTTATCCTATGTGTTTGAGAACGCTGCTTTAGGCTATTAGCAATTTTTTGATTTTCAGTATCTAGGAGCAGGAAAAGTATTGTTTTTGTAGAGTTTTTTGGAGCGTTTTTGCAGCAGAAAAAAAAAACAGTAAACGCTACTAAAACGCTTCTAACGGCTTTTTTCTAGCTTTTTTCTACATGCACTGTAAAAACGCTAATAAAACGCTATAGCTCCTAAACGCTACTAAAAAGCTACTAAAAAAATGCTAGTGTGCATGGAGCCTAAGGATTTTTGTAATTATAATTTCAAAAACATTTTATACAATAACACATAAAAATAAATACACATTTAAGCATAAATATGAATACATAAAATAACATTGCAATTATTAACAAGCATAAAGTGCTGTATTAATTTGTAGAAATGCCTAAAATAAAAAATACTGTTATTATTATTATTATTACACGATTTGCACTTTACAATATAATGGGAGACAATACAGCAACAATACAATTCAATACAAAAGGGTTAAGAGGGCCCTGCGCCTGAGAGCTTACAGTCTAATATAGTATTTTTTCATTGTATATCTATATATATATATATATATATATATATATATATATATATATATATATAAAATCAGTTATATAGTATATTTGAATTGTAGGATAGTTTCCCATTTTGTATCATACAACCTATACTCAGTAGACTGTACAATCAGACTAACATTTGTAGCCAGCTTAATAGTATGCATTTTTCTATCCAGGTTAGTTTATTAAATAAAAAAAGCAGTCACTTACTTTTTGCCGAGATTTTTAAATGTTTTCTCCAAAATTCAGGCCGCCTGGTGCTCAGACAGAAGCAGCTCTTTCCCTGCAGGTCGGCACATTTTTAGCAAGCGTTGATAATCAGACTGTCAGCTCCTTTGATCAGAGCAATATGACTCATGGACTCTTGGAGCATCCTTCCCTCTCCTGCGTTGCTCCAAGCCTGATCACTCAGTGTGGGATGAAAGTGTTTAAATTGCAGCCGGTAAGAAGTTGGGAGTGAACATGTAAATGATCAGATGTCAGATCACACCCAGAGCTCACATAATCAAGGATGACTGGGGGGACCTGAACAAGATACACTCCACTGTTATGTGCCTTTCCATAAAAAGTAAAACATGCCAAGGATGTGATGATTTACGCAATCTTCTACTCTGTTACTCTTTGTTCCGTGTTTCAGTTCCCCTGGAAATCAACAATGGGATTTTACATGGAAGCAAAACACTGCTTAGTATATAGAGAGCTAACAAAATTTTATATTCCATCCTCCAAGTGCTTTGTGCTTCTCTAGTGAATAGTCCTAGAAGACTCTTACAAGATGTTAAAGTATCAACCAGAACATCTATACCTTCTAACCCAACTTCTCCAATTTTGAATGCCACACTAAATTCAAAGCTGAAAATTTGGTTATGCTTGGGCACTGTAGGTTTGCATAACCAATTGACTCTTTATAACTTTCTGAGGCTTCGGTGGTGAGACCTCCCTATGGTGGTCCACATTTTCAACCGAATACCAAGACAAGGGGGGGGCGAGGATAGAAGTGGCACATGCCCCTTGTGTGGAGTGGGGTACACTGGAAGCTTCGGCTGCTCCAAAAATGGCAGTGTCATTACTCTCAGAAGGAGTAGGGGTCTCAATTTTTGCTGGAGGGAGGATTTGCTTTTTCCTTCCTCTAATAACAGCCTATTTTGGGCAAATGACAGCAGGCACCTGCTGAGAAAACATCTCCATCTTGGTGTGGCGCCACTGGGGAATGAGGGCAAACTGCCTGTTGTCTTGTCTCCCTTCTTGTAATATATATCATTACCAGAGAAAGGTAGGAGATGCTGCTTTCATGCTCAGTGGGCATCATGCTTAGAAGGAGGTCTGAACTGAGTAAGCAGCAGGTGGGGTGACAACTCAGCCCTAGACCTCTTCTCCTCAGAACCACCCAAGAGCAGTTAGCTTCCCTCCTTCTTCTCTCAGAGCCCCCCGATGCCTTTAGATCTATGCTCCCCACATAGCCCACCTCCCAGCAGCTCTCTTCCTTCATTCCACTGACATAGATGTTAAAGTAGAACTATAGGCAAAACATTTTTTTTTCATTTTGGATAGAACAAGGGAGGGATATAACCCTTATTAGATTTTTTTTGCCATCGGTGTCCCATTGCAAAAAATATCCCAGCAAATTAAGGGAGTCCTTGGGGACAACCAGGTCACCAGAACTAGTGTCCCCACTGGAAGATTTCCCCTATATTACTTTTCTGGAGACAACCCAAAATTTAGGGGTTCTTTTACTTTCACTTTTAAAGATAATGGTAAACATGACAAATGATGATATGGTAGAAATAGAGTCATCTACTGTTTCAACCAATGATGACTCGGTTCTCGAAGTCCTGGAGGAGCTTTATTTAGAAGAACTTTGGGGAGACAATCCAGTTGATTTGCCGGTAGCAGTGCCTATGCTAAAAAATGAAGTGGTACATACTACCTTTAGACCCTCTTCTACTTTTGTTGAGCATGTGACGTCATATCCGATGCTGCCAGTTTGGTTTACTTTCTGGAATCTGTTTTACACTAGGAAGTCTGTTTTGGAGGATTTTATACTTTAAAGCAGTCTGCTTTAGACTGGCACCACTGACACATTTTATCCAAAATGACACTGATGCAGCGCCATTTGTTCCTTTAATACCACCACTAATGTAGGGACATTTTTTTCTTCCAGTGACACCACCTATGCAGGGGCATTTTTTTCTTCTGATGACACCACCTACACAGGGACATTTTTTCATCACTGTTAGCCTCATATAAAAGTATATTAAACTCTTCAGTTTGCCATGGTGTACCTCAACCATTAGCACTCTTTCAGTGCATGCCGCAAACATTACATAACATTTTGTTACAGTGCGTCATGTTTGCTGCTATTAGCCCTGTCCTCTCCTTCCCCCAGTAAAGGAAGAGGTGGTGCACTTTGCTATCTTGGCATTGGGCACTGTATGACCTTGTCCAGGCACTGTCTGCAGCCTTCCCACTAGGTATTAAAGCCAAACTTCCATGATAAACGTTGGTCCTGGATTCCGAGAGGCATGGGTGACATCACTATGTCTCCCATTATTGTTTTTACACTATATTCCAGTAAGAAGTCACATGCTCTCTCTTATCCAGAAGTTCAGGATTTGATGGAGGAATACATTGGCAGGGATGTACAGTGAAGGTTAGTACAGTATAAGTTTAACAGGAGTGGACTTTTGAAATACTCTATTAATTGAAAAATAAATATGCATGCAAAGTGCAGGTAAATAGAAACCCTGATAATTTAATCTAAATGCCAAATTATCAAATTCACCAAATGAAGAACCCAAGTGTAAGGACTGGGAATGCCACCTGTCTGTGATCCTCCTGGACAGTCCAAGTTTTTGAATCATGTGTCCAGGTTTAAGACTGTCTGAAACCCAAACACACCCTAATCACCCCATGTGCACTGGAAGAGCTTCAGGGGTCACAGGGGGCAATTATAGGATCTTATCCCCTGTATGTCCTAACCTGCAACAGCTGAAAGCCAGTTTCTCCTCTTCTCCCACCTGTTGCTTTCAGCTGCTGAACAGGGAGTCATACAGGTGATTAGTTCCTGTAATCCCCTCCCCCCTTGCCACACCCTCTGTGCTTAATCCTCTTCCCCCTGCTGTCCTGGCCCCTGTTATGACCCCCCCCCCCCCCCACACACACACACACACTTTACCACAGCACTGCTGATCATCTCATCTCCTCTTCTGCCAGCTGCTGCAGGGGAACGGGCTGGTATATACATATGTCATTTAATGGCCCCTTCATTTTTTTGAATGAACAAAGTGAGTGATTGGTATTGATCACTCATTGTGTTCATTCATAACAGCAGCATTGTAAACTATGTTTATTATACTTAAGTTTATGAATAAACAGGAAGGCTGTGCAGAGCTGTTCCTGTTCATTCATTCTGTGGAGATGAGGCTGCAGAAAGGAATTGTGTTTCCTCATTCCCTTTCTCTGTCTCGACTTCAGAGGTCTATTTAAACTCCTCATATTTCATGAAAGTCCACTCCCCCAAAAGAATTGTAAAAAAAAAAAAGAAAAGTTTAAAAAAATAAAGATTTTAAAATAGATTGCAACAAATACAGTAAAAAAAAGGAAAAAAGTAATACAAATTAAAAAAAAAAAAAAATAAGGGCTCATTCACACAGGTCCTCTGGCCCATACATTTTTGATATATAAAAAAAGAAGTGATGCAGCCGATACATCAGATGAGCCAGTCACGCAGTCACAATCGTAAAACTAAGTCTGTACTCCCCCCATAAAACTTATAAAAACAACAAGAAACTATTTTATGCTAAAAAACATCCCATTAGCGAGCTTAATAATACAAATAGAGGGAGTAAAGAAGTGGAGCACACACCAGCGACCACAGATCATCCCTTTGAGGATGAAGCACCTTCCAAAATAGATTTTGATACTAGTTTAAACCAGCCCTTGCCTTTTTTAGGGATGAAAGCTGCTGGGACCATAAGACATATAGTGAAATAACAAATAAATACACCAAAGTCCATAAAGAAAGCAAGAAAAAGAGTGGAAGGACAAGACACGGCAGAAGAGGTGGCAAGAGATACAAAAAGAGGCAGAATGTAGATATTGAGAATTCCGCTATCAAA